GCGTATCAGAGCTGGGCCCTTCAGCCCTGATAGCAGCAGCAAGCAGGTCCCCTGCCTTGCTGAGAAGACCTGGAAGTGAGAACCTTTTGAGACCCTTACTGGGGACACTTATTTTGGCTTAGCTTCTCAGATCTGATTTCCCTGATGATGCTTTCAACTATCCAATCACCCTGACCCCATTTCTTCTGTTATTTCAGAGATAATCTTTCCTTTTTTATGTCAAGGCAAATAGAAATACCAGTCTTCCAGCAGCCATTAAGTGTGAATGCTTCAAATTGAGGAGAGGAAGAATAGGAGAGAGACAGACAAAGAGCCACCCTTACACTGTACTCCCGTCTTCCCCCACCATGCCCAGGATTGTCTTGTGTTAAGATCCTTTTTAAATGTTACTTCCCTGTATTTTATGCTTTTCATGTAAATATTCTGTGACTCCTTTAAGTAAGGGAAGACAGTATTTTATTCACACACTTTCATGGACAGGCATGATTATAGTTACTGCTCACATTTATTGGGCATTTACCAGGTGGTAACATCCAATTCCATTTCTTTTTTTCTATACCTCTATGAGGGGTTCGCTATCATTCTGAACTCTCTAAAGATAATAAAACAAAGGCACTTAGAGGTTAAGTAACACAGTAGATGAAAGAACTGTGACTTGAATTCAGGCATTCTTAGCTACCCCCAGATGAAAGAACAGGATGAGATAGAGAAGGGAAAAGATTTAAAAAAAAAAAAAAAAAGAGGTGGAAAGGGCACATTAACATAAGCCAAGTTCATTGGAGTAATTCTTAATGGTGTGGGAAATCTGAAATCTGTCTATAAAAACTCAGCCATGAGTGAATTGATTTACACACCTAAAAAACAGTCTCTGATACCTTCACAAACAGTTCTATTAAACCATAGGATTTTTAACTTTTTTTTTTTAATCCTCACCAGAGAATATTTTTTCCATTTATTTTTTTTAGAGCGAGTGAAAGGGAGGGAAGTGGGGGCAGAGTGAGAGAGAGAGGGAGAGAAACATTATGTGAGAAAAACACATGGATTAGTTGCCTCTTGCACATACCCAGACCAGACACAGGAACTGAACCTGCAATCAAAGTATGCCTTTAACTGGGAATTGAATCCACAAACCTGCAGCTGCAGGCAGATGCTCTAACCACTGAGCACCATCCAGGGCAGGAATTTTTAACTCAGATTCTTAATTTGTCCAAAGATAAAAACAATGTCTGCTCCACTCCCAATCATGAGATATTTTACATAAACATGATATGAAACAAATTGAAAACAGATATATGTTTGACTTTATGAAAGCTCTGAACACATTGTCTTTGTTGGTTATTAGTTGTTTATCAAATGAATGTCTTATGGTTTTCATAGCAAGTTTGAGAGCAACAAACAAATCTGTAGTAAGGAGGTGACAGTAAAACTTTCCTACCACAGAGGGCAATTGTCAATATCCTGTTGCCTGGAGCCCAGTATTGATAATGGCAGTGATGGAAACCCATTTGAGCTAGTAAATGTGTCAGGTCAATCTGATTGAAGACTCCAGCAAAATGATAGCAAAGTTACCACTGACTCTGTATTGAACACTCCATGAGCATTCACCTGGAGAAGGGGTGGAGCTCAGTAAAAATATCCACAATGGAAGGAAGTGCTGGGACAACTATACTTCATCAATGTTAACTGTTTTATCAAGTCCTTCAGACTTAGCTGACATCACTCTAAACTTCCTAACTGCAGTAGACTAATGCTATAAATTTTTCATTGAATAATTTCTGTTATAACATTAATAATGATAATGATTAAAACATTATTTGAACATTAAAATAAGATAGATTGGAAAATAATATCCTATATAATAAGAGGTGGTATGCAAATTGACCCTCACACCCTCACAAGATGGTTGCCTACACCCAGGCCGGCAGGTGGGTTAGTGAGGGACTACCAAACGGCTGAACAAACAGGCTGTGTGGGACAACCAGGCCAGCAGGGGTGGGGGAGGAATTTGGGGGCAACCAGGCTGGCCTGAGGAAGTAATTAGGGATGACCAGGCCAGCAGAGGGAGGCAGTTGGAGGCCACCAAGCTGGTGGAGGGAGGGAGAGACAGTAAAAGGTGACCAGGCCAACAGGGTGGGGTACAGTTAGGCGCAACTAGGCCAGTGCAGGGAGTGCAGTTGGGGGCAACCAGGCCAGCAGGGGGATTAGTGAGGGACGACCAAATGATTAAACAGCAGACTATGTGGGGCAACCATACTGGTGGGGCAGGGAGGCAGTTGGGGGTGACCAGGCCAGTGTTGGGGACAGTTAGGGGCGACCTGGTCAGCACACAGAGGCGGTGAAGGGGTAGTTAGGAGTGACCAGGCAGGCAGGCAGGTGAGTGATTAGGAGCCAGCGGTCTAGGATTGTGAGAGCGATGTCCGACTGTCGGTTTAAACCTGGTTCCTAAATTGGCAGTCAGACATCCCCTGAGGGGTCCCGGATTGGAGAGGGTGCAGGCTGGGCTGAGAGGACACCCTTTTCCCTCCATGCACAAATTTCTTTTCTTTTTTTTTTTTTTTTTTATAAATATATATTTTATTGATTTTTTAACAGAGAGAAAGGGAGAGAGATAGAGAGCTAGAAACGTTGATGAGACAGAAACATCGACCAGCTGCCTCTTGCACACCCCCCACCGGGGATATGCCCGCAACTAAGGTACATGTCCTTGACCGGAATCGAACCCGGGACCCTTCAGTCAGCAGACCGATGCTCTACCACTGAGCCAAACTGGCTTTGGCACCCATGCACAAATTTCATACACTGGGCCTCTAGTTGCAAATAAAAGAAAATATGAACATTTGTAACATAGTATAGTTCTTAATGTGTACTTATAATATTAGCATTTATATTAATAGTAATAATAATTAAACATTGAGTAATTACTGTGTGCCAGGCTTTGTTTTAAGCACTTTACACTTATTTAGCCTTGCTTTTCTAGATGTAAATACCATCATTATTTTACTTCATGAAAGAAAAAGGAGAAACAGAAAGATTATATAATATCCTAGAAGTAGGTTATTCTTAAATAAATAATTCCTTTAAAAGAGTGCTAGACCAGGAGGTAAAACATATTCTAAATATAACTCTACCTTTACATATTGTATTAATATTTGAGTTTTTATGCTTTGCTCTGCCTACTGATGAGATACAAAATAAAGCAAATATAAATATATGAAGATCCATGATTCTAAATAAATGTTATTCATTCCAAAATAGTAATTTTGAGCAATCTACTTTTAGATTCCTGTGATGCAGCTATTGCCTAACATATAACTACTATAAATTGTTTTCATGATAGAGGCATGGTAAAAGGAATCTCCTCCATGGCATCAAATCTTAATCCTTTAAGGAAGAGGTCAGCAAATGCAATTAAGGGCCAGATAGGAGCTATGTTTGACTTTGCAGGCCATAGAGTTTTTGTGGGGACTATTTACCTCTGCCATTATGATGCAAAAAATAGTCACAGAGAAGGTATAAATGAATGGACATGGCCGCGTCACAATTAAATTTATAAAAGCAGGCAAAGAATTTGACTGTTTAGGTTAAGGCCATAGTTTCTTCTTTAAATGTGAATTTAAAAGTTGCCACTATTGTTTTGGGAAAAGCAATCAAACTATGTCTAGACAGGTAAAGGCCCATGTGAAAAAAAGGGAAAGAATATGAAGAAATAAATGGTTATAAGATATTACTATTGATTTCCTGTGGCTCCAAAAGAGCCTTTCAGGAAAATACTAATAGAAGATTAGCTAAAGATCTATTGCATAAGTGCATGGTCTCTTGAGGTGATCAGTTTGCAGGTGAAAATGCTTGTTTGTTTGTTTTTTGTGTTTTTTTGTTTGTTTGTTTGTTTTTGCTATTTATTGGCCTGTAGTATGTATAACCTAAAAGAGAAGAATCTTGACTTTAAAATTTAAAGTGTAAGAATGCCTCTTCCTTGTTGTGTGGTATACATTAATTGCAAACTTTTCACAACTTAACATTTTTACTATTTATCATAAAGAAAATTTAAAAGTGATTAATTATACTAGTTGTGATTTTTAGGACATAAAAATAAAATAATGAAATTTAGATGTAAGATTTTAATGTTTCTAGTGAGATTTGTGTTTCCCATGATGGGAGCATTAGCTAAAATGCCATTTCCATATAGAGGCATCTTGTCTTCTGTCCCACCAAAAATGGTGTTTCTTCTAGTTTCAGCTGCTGGAATGTAAATGTTTCTCAATGATGGTTTACAGTAGTGCCCTGTTATCTGCAAGGGAGACTAAGACCCCCAGTCAATGTCAGAAGCTCTGGATAGTACTACATATACACTATCTATCATGTTTTTCCTTATACACACTTATCTATGATAAATTTTCATGAATAAATTAGACACAGTAAGACATTAACAATAATAATAAAAATAAAACTATTATAACAATATACTTCAATAAAAGTGATATGGATGGCTTTGGGGACATCATTAAGTGAAATAAGAGTTATTTGAGCAGAAGCACTGTAAGACCTTGACAGAATGATAACCAAAATGACTACTTGGTGGCTAATGGGCAGGTAGCATTACTACAAGAATACACTGGACAAAGGGAGGTTTTGCACCCTGGGTGGGACTGAGCAAGCTGGCTCAAGATTTCATCACTTTGCTCAGAGCAGCATGCAATTTAAAATGTATGAATAATTTGTCTCTGAAATTCTTCATTTAATAGGTTTGGACCATGGTTGACCTCGGCAAACTGAAACTGCAGAAAACAAAACCATCAAAAAAGGGCAGCTACTGTCATTATTTCCTGAGAGCACATTTTCTCGCTATTGTGACTCAGATGATTGCAAATTTCCCCCCAAGTGTACAAATAATTTTCTGTTGCTCCAGTGATTCAAGAAATGTCAGATTTTACTAGGCACTTCATGTAGATCTGCTTTATGCTGAGTAGAAAATTTACAAATCCCCATTTTTCTCTTTCCAGAGACAGAAGCAGCTGTGAATCCAGCTGTTGGAATGCACCTTCCAGCTCAAAAACCTGAACTGTATCATATTTCAGGTTTCAACACTTTAGGAACTCCTCCTCCATATGAAGAAATCCTGAAATCAAGCCAACTTTAGATATGGATCATCAATTAAAAATATTAGAAATATTTTAAGACCAAAATTAGTGACAATTTTTCTCATGTAGTGGGAATTCATAGACATTGATTAATATAGCCTTGGAAAAGACAAATAGACAAAACAATGAATGTAGGGGGAAAATTTTTTATCAAGGATATATTTTAGTAGTATATGTGGACTCAGTGGATAACGGCTGTTACATTTTTTTTACTATAATCTAAGTTAATGTTTCTCCATCAATACTCACAGACAGTAATTAATATGCAGTGATCTCAATTAAGTTTAGGATTTCACTCTAGCACACAACTCTCTCTGCCTAAATATTTCTGTTTTAATATGATCTTTCTCCCAGTGTGGAGTCAATAAAAATTGTCATAATTTTAACAATAACTCAAACAGAGATTCAGACACATCAAGAGCCAGAATCAGAAAGGGAAAAACAAAAAGTTGGAATAAATCCTCAAAAACAGGTAGGCTATGGATAATGCAAATAATTAGTGTTGAATTGTAAAATGAGTGTTATTCATATTGACAAACTAGGCAGAGGGGGAAAGAGTGTGTGAAGGAAGGTGGCCGAAAATAATGAGAAAGCTAAATCCTAATTTCCTATTGTGGGAAGTCAATGAATAATACCTAAAATTAAAACAAAAATCATGAAATAATGAAAAGTACATCATTTGGAAATTAGATCACAAATATCTGAAGCAAGACACTCAAAAGTTGAGAATAACTCCCTTAAGAAATCAGCTTTGGAGATAATGTTATGTGGGATTAGGTGGCGCAGAATAATGCTGTGTGTGTGTGTGTTTGTGTTTGTGTGTGTGTGTGTGTGTGTGTGTGTGTGTGTGTGTGTTTATAATAAGCCTTTAGAACTATTTAACTTATAAAATTAAATGCATGCATTACTTTAATTAAAAAGAAATATAAAATTAAACAAATAAATTTTGACTAAGTGATAGCTTACAATTGAAGACAAACAGGAAACCATGCTATATGGAAGAATAAAATGTTAACAGTAAATGTGTTTAAATAGGGGACTGCAGGTGACTTAATATTTTATTCATTTTGCAAATTTTTGTTCATATCCTGTAAGTTATGTATGTTAAAATCCGTTCCAGTTACAGAACCGTTTGGGGTTATAATTAACACCTAGAAAAGTGTAAGCATATCTGGAAATGGAACTAATGATTCAGCAGCTGGAATTGTCAGAAGTTAGTTCATGTCTGAGTTGAAGTGATTGGAATTGATTTTTAAGACAGCTGCATTTATGTGTCAGAGCAAGTCTAAGCAAACTACATGTGTGGCCTCTAGCGGCTTGGTTTATTTATCCAGGTGAGGAAGGAAGTGTGGGGACAGGGTTTAAGCAGGTGGATAGGGCTGGTAACAAAAACACTTTGTTTTCATAGAAATGTTTCTAACAAAGATCTCCTATTAAGTATCACAGGTATTATCTAAGAAATACTGAATAACTACTATATGTTAATTATTGTACAAGTTCTGAATTTATTTCCCCAACATGTTTAGTATTTTTAAAAAATATTTTTTTTTTTACTGATTTCAGAGAGGAAGGGTGAGTGAGAGAGAGAAACATAAATAATGAGAGAAAATCATTTATTAGCTACCTTCTGCATACCCCACACTGTAGATAGAGCCCACAATCCGGGTAAGTGCCCTGTCTGGGAATTGATTGGCATCATAGATTAATGCTCAACCACTGAGCTGTGCCAGCTGGGCTTGTATTATTTTTAATAATACTACAGTTTCCATCACTTGGCTCTGACCTCTAGACAGAGACCTGCAAATTCTGTAGCAGGTACTTTTTATGGTCACTGAAAACTACTGCTAACAATCCTATCTAATAAAGAAGGAATATACAAATTGAGCATAACGCCACAACAAAGATGGTGGTGTCAACAGCCAATAAGGAGGGAATATGCAAAGTGAGGCTCACTCTGCAACAAAGATGGTGGCAGCTGGGCTGGGATGCTTATATCATTGCCACGGCGACAACACAGGCATTCTACTTCCCCCTGCCTGCAGAGTGGCCAGTGGGTGGGGTAGGATGTGCTGCCCACTGCCCAGAGCACACTGCTCAAGGTGACAAAGGCTGGCACCCCACTCCAGGCCAGTGGGCAGTATGTGCAGGCACAGAGCAGCCAGTAGGTGGGATGGGACATATGCCTTCATTGCCTTGGGCAGCGTGCTTCAGGCAGGTGGGCAGCACAAGCAGGTTCAGAGTGGCTGGTGGGCAGTGCACTTTGGGTTGGTGGGCAGCACATGCAGAGAGCCTCTGGGTAAAGGAGGTGGACTAGGGGAAGGCTGCCTGTACTCCCCACATGGCAGTGGTGGCAACTGTGAGCGCACCAAGCAGAGCCTGTGGGCCAAGCTGATGTGGCATCTGCAGGCCATTAGCACTGAAGAGTGGCTGCACAAGTCCCACCTTCTGGCTCAGAAGGTGCGTGATAGCAGGGACAGCTACCGTGGTGGGCCAGATTGACGTCCTTGTGGCCACACCATTGAGATTTGCAGATGTCCGCAGCTGCAGGCCTCCAATGTGTGTATCCTCTCTCTCCTACTCCCCCCACCCCCGGTGTGAAAACATCCCGCAGCGCACTGTCACCCACACGTGCCTGCAACAGTCCGGACCATGGTGTGCACAAGTTGCCCCCGGCCCCTCCACCACACTTCCATCAACCCTAGCATGCCTACATCCCCCACAGGATGTGCGCACATCCCCTCCAGCATGCTTATGTCCTTTGGACAGTGTCTAGGTTTCTGGGTGCTTGGAGTGGTCGCCTGTGAGATGACAGTGAGAGGGCAGAGTGGTAATGCTGTTTTCCCACGGAGGACAGTCTAGCGAAGTGATCACCTCCATGGTATGAACAGACACACCTAGTGGGTGGGGAGGGGGTGGGAGGGAGGGGAAAGGAGGGTTCGCTAAGGTGCTTTCTGTCAGCATTCAAGATCAGGAACCCAGGGGAGGTGAGGAGTTCCATCCTCTCAGTGAAACGGTAGGATCGTCGGGGTGACTGCAGAGGAGGAATGTGAACTTTGGGTGCCGTGACTGAGCCTCGCTTGCTTGGACCCTAGAGCACTCCTGCCAGGCAGCAGGTGACAGGACGTGCTTTTCCAAGTTAATGAGAGAAAACGTTGAATTCTCCCGCTGCCTACGAAGGTGGGAAGTGGAGTGGGGAGACATGTGGGGAGTGAGCGAGGTCCCCTGTCTGAGGGTTCCAAATCCGCCACTGGTTCCTTTCACCGCTGACTAGCGATATATAGGGTGTCCCTCAAAATGTATACACTCTTTGAACACCTACTAATGTCAATGGGTTTAAGCGTGAAAAGAAACAATGGAGCTGTCATCTATTAAAAGTGCACCCACAAACCGGCAGTTGGACATCCCCCTAGGGGACCCGGATTAGAGAGGGTGCAGGACGGACTGAGGGGCCCCGCTCCCTGCCTCTACCCCCCATGCACTGGGCCTCTAGTACAATAATAACACTAATTTAGATTATGTGATTATCATAATGATAAAAGAATTCTGTCATCTCAGCCAATCTTTGCCTGCATTTTAGTTCATCAATAAATTGTTAATATTCTATTTAACCCAGTGTCTCTGATTTTAATTCTGACAGGACTAGTTTTTTTCTTACTGCTAAAGGTGTAGCATTTTCTTTGAACATCCAGCAGAGGGCATGAAAGCCTATCTGTGAATCTAACCCATTAGCTAGATTTGATGTAGTGGTTAAATGAAACCATGAAGCTGGATTACTATTGATATCTGATTTTTGGCAGATCCTAGAAGAAGAGATTAATTATTAGCTTCAAATTTGCAAGAAGAATGTAGGGCTTTAGCTCATATTGCTCCCAAAGAAGCTGAGCACCAGGAGAGATGCCTGCCATCAGAGAGTCTAGTACTCCCCTCCTAAGGATGATACTTATGAGTTAGAGGTGCCTGTAAAGGCAGGATAATTTGTATTTAAATGCTCACATGGTATGCGATCTCTATGTCACTGACACTATAGGTCTAGCCCATTTCCTTCTTACCTGACCACAAGTTCCTATTTAATTTTCAGTTTTTATACGATAGTTCTGATTTTTTTTTTCAATTGTGTGAGGAGCACAACTGTTATAAAAGACAATTTTAAAATTCAATATCTTGCACAAGAATGAAATAGAGCTGGGATAGTACTGAAAAGCATTCTTATGGACAATGAAATGAAACTCAGCCAGAATATTATATGCAAGGCTGGAGTATACAATCCTGAAGTATATGAAATACTTCAGGATTGTATAAGAGAAAATGAGACAATAAACATGTGTTGGCTATGAGACACAGCTTTCAATAGAGAATATTTTTTAAATCAGAACAGAGCAAATAGAATATACATTCCAAATTCATTTTGCTTTGTGATTTAAACAAAATAAATATATAGTATTAATATATAAATATGTACATATATTTATATATATAATTATATTACTATATATATTATTAATACCGGGTCCTGAAAAATAGTAGTTATTTTAATAAATATAGTTCTGAGAAAATGGAATTTAAAATGGAATAATTTGCCCTTACCGGTTTGGCTCAGTGGATAGAGCATTAGCCTGTGGACTCAAGAGTCCCAGGTTTGATTCTGGTCAAGGGTATGTACCTTGGTTGCGGCCACATGCCCAGTGGGGATTATGCAAGAAGCAGCTGAATGATGTTTCTCACTCATCCATGTTCCTAACTCTCTATCCTTCACCCTTCCTCTCTCTTCCTCTCTTTAAAATATCAATAAAATATATATTTAAAAATAAAATGGAATAAGTTGGTGATAAACATAATACTATATAATAAAAAGCTAATATGCAAATTGACTGAACAGAGGAATGACTGGTCGCTATGACATGCACTCACTACCAGGGGGCAGACACTCAATGCAGGAACTGCCCCCTGGTGGTCAGTGTGCTCCCACAGGAGGAACACCACTCAGTCAGAAGCTGGGCTA